TACGATTTTCTCATGTAATCTCCAAATTATCGATAATTTTTTACTTAAAATTTTAATATCTGTTTTAATTCGGTATTTTCGACAATAAATTGAAGGTTATAAGTTGAAAATACGGTACTTTTAATTACTGGTAGTATTCAAATTTCGAGTAATTTCATCGAAAACCGTGTAATTTTCTCCAAAAATGATCATGTAGCCGACTGGCAGTCAAATTTTTGCCACAAAAATTATAGGCGCCGTGTCCAGAACCTGTTTAAATGTTTCCACCAGGTGCTCTTGCTTCCACAATTTATAAAATTGCACTAGAGTTATTCAACCAAACAAAAAAAAAATCCACGTCATCAACTGATTTAATTCGTTGTTTCAATAAAAAGTCACCCCATTATTTTCCAAATATTTGTTCGGGTTTATGTTGTGTTTGTGCATTTTATCGGCGCCTCACTCCACTCTTTCGAAACGCGTATAATTTTCGTTCCAGGATCGGATCATATTCGTCGTTTAATTTATCGAGAGTAAAAAAAATAATTGGTAAACGTGTCCTTTGGCCGAAACGTGGGGGGAAATGCTTCATCTCATAAGTTATGGGACGCAATCACAAGAATAATTCATCGGAAAGTTAAAAATAATGAACGATTGACTGAAAATAGTCAACAAATCTATTGAGTGGCGCTCGACTTGTTCCCATTTGAATAGTCAACTAGCCAGAAAAAATATCAACAGATAGAAATTCAAATAGAAAAAGACTGCGAGAGAGAAAGAGAGGAAGACAGGAAAAAATTAAATTGAATTTAAAGCCCACTCGACGTATGAATGGCCACGTAATTTACCGGACATTTGTAAGGTCCCGTTGCATGGCGCGTTTATTTAAATGTTTTCATTTCTGGTTTCATTTTTTTTCGTCTTTTGTCTGTTCCGCGACATGACAATAGTAATTAAGTGCTGGCATCGGCAAGGGTTTAATGGTAGAGTGCGTGGCCGATAGAGGACGGAGAAAAGAAACGAGAAAAAATTATGAATGGTGAATGAAAACAAAGAGAGCGGAAATTTTTTTTTGTTCAATTCAAAATCATGGGAAAATTGTCGACGCCACGAAACGAATGCGATGATGTGTTTTCTGGACACGGGCCTCTCTCATTCTTTTGCTCTCTCTCTCTCTCTGTTTCCACTTCTCGCTCGAGCCGAACTAATCAATTTTAAATATTCATTTGACAACGAAATCAAAGGATTTAAAATGATAAATAGAATCGGGCTATTATACACGCATTTCATTAAACAATGTGTATAATTTTCGGCTTAGCGCACGGCAATCACACTCATTACCGCGCTCGTTTTCAACGTTTGTTATCGCACTGTGAATGGTTTTATTTCGAACACGTAATCGAAAGACCACGTCATCGGACTGGAGTGCTCGGCTCTTGAGAATGGGAGAAATAATTCATTCAGATTGAATGAAATCGGGAAAAAAGAATTTTGAAACGTGAGTTAAGACAACAAATTTCGAGACATTAAGAGAATCTAACGATTGGTAATAAGAGTAGTCTACGTATTTCTTGAAGAATTTCAATGAAATTCATCAACGAAATTCAGTGCACTAAAAACTGAAACTAAAACTAAAGTCCAAATATGTAATTTCTCTCCAAAACAATTTTCATCCCTCTTGAAAGGTGCGTGCTATCGATTAACGACCTCAAAAACATAGACTCAATTAAAATGATACATGTAATTTGGTTCATTCGTTTTGGCTCAAAACATCTTAATTCCACCAAAAGAAAGGAAAAAAAATTTATCCTCAAATGAGTCTAATCCTTGTCTGTGTTTCAAATTGGCACTCATTTTTCAAAATACACATACACATACACATTAATACCGGCGCTCTTCTTTGTCGTTTCTTCTTTGCTTTTCGTTTTCGTCTCTTTGAGTAGATTCTAGGCCATTGTCTGTTAAACGGTAGGCCTCTTGTCGAAAAGATTTCATATCTGTTGGTATTGTATTGAAATTAAAGCCACTGTGTTGCCTGCACAAAGCAGTTACATGATGGGATTTTAAAGTCGAGTGCTCTTTCACAATGTCTTAATATAGGTCGAAAAACATATGAAACTGAACGGAGCGAAAGACAATGAAGAAAAGTATCGCTCGTATTAATCCTTCGGATCAAAGCAAACGGCTGCGCTCTCTTTTGTTCGGCCAGAGAAGAAAAAAAAGGAATCTAATACCAATTTTGGGCTAGTCAGCAGAAGCCAAGTTATTAAATAGACACCGAAGAGGCGAACAAACACAAAAGCTAACGCACCGAAAATATTTGTTAAACGCACAACAGCAACAACAACAAGATATGCACCAAAAATAGCAATAGATTTTTATCACAAACCAATTTTTTTTTCCTTTGTCCATATACCCGAACCGAACACCGAGATTTATGAAGATGTTTTTGAGGTTCACTATTAAAACCACTCTACATTTTCTTTTCTTCTTTTCGCCGTTTTCTCTTTTCTCAAGCATTTGCTCTGGTTTTTGTCATTCAAGGGGTAATCAGAGACTCATTTCGATCACTATCTACACACAAAACGATCAATTTCATTGTGTGCCCACGTTAAAATTTGTAACTGCAAAAATGATAGGATCTTTTTGAGTAGATAAGAGTATATTGGGTTAGAGTCGGAAAAAAAGAATCAAGATATTGAGTTGGAATAGATAAAGCCAAATATTAGTTCTAATGTTTCTTTTGACCATTTTCGGTGGTTTTGGCTGGAAAAAGTGCCATTTGCTGATATAATCAAATCGCCAATTTTTCTTCGTTCATAATGATTTTTTTTAAACGATTTGAAGAAATCATTATAATGAATCTATATTCGCCATGGTGAGAACTTCACTCCGAAGCTGCGACAGAATAAAGAACAGCAACAGAAAAACTACAAACGAAATGAAGAAAGGAGTCTCCAAAGCCCGCTTCGACAGTCCGAGAAGAAAAAAAAACCAACAAATGAAGACAAAAACAGGCTATAAACAAAAAATCATCACGATCAGTGTGTTCTGTCTCACGCCCAAAACACACACTAACCATCTCTCATGCGCTCATTTACCCGTCTAATTTATTAATTTTTCTGTTTCGTTAGTTCGGGTGTCTCACAGACACGTCGCGTTCGGTTGTTTTTTTCTTCTTTTCATTCTTCAAAAACTGAAAATCGTTTTGTTCGCACCGTGCATTTGAAATTGGTGTTTAGCCTGTTGTGTATCCAAAATCGTTTTATTGGTAATATATCATTGATGTCAACTGTTGGATTGTTTTAATGTTGCCTATAAAAAGAGAGACTCAGCCGAATATGATTGCTTTCACTGGCGCATTCCCAGGCGAATGTGTCTGCATCAAGATTTTGATCGATATATATAAATTTTTTTTTGTGTTCGGTATCGATGCCGAACGAAGATAAGGGCCGGTATTTTCTTCATCTCTCAGCAGTAAACATGCTGGTTTTCAATACGCGAGACGCCACTGAAATGCACGGTTTATTTTATGCGCGCCGATGCGCATTTGATTCGAAATGAAATTTCAAACTTTGACAAAATTCATCGCAGCGGTTCGAAATTTGAATCGGCGCTCTCTCTCTCTCTCTCTCTCTCTCTTGGTCTTTGTCCGTTTTATTCTTGAGATTGTCGTTGGCTGGGTCTCGAAAATTTTCGTCTGAAATTGAAAACCTCGGTTGAATGTCCATTGGAATTAGCGACTGTCGACAGACACAAAATGTAGTCGCACCGCAGCGAATCGTCGATGAAAAAAAAAATTAAAGATGGATATGTAATGCACGCATGCAGATGCATGTAGAGAGATAAATGGAGGCCAAGAGCACACAGTGTGTATGTTGTGAACGCAACGTCGCTTTTTTGAGTGACACCTAATTTAATGCAAATTCATGCTTTTGTCACCGAACTGGAAGAACAAAGCAAAATTCACCGAATGCAGCAACAGCAGCCGCAGCAGCAGCAACAACAACGTTGAACGGCATCGCGCGGATTATATTTTTTTCACGCCGACATCGACATCTGAACTCTCTCTTTCTTTCTATATCTATCGCTCGCGCCCGCTGCCTTCAAACGAAACCGGGTTGAGCCGTTGCGGCTCTCAAGTGGTTTCTCCTTTCATTTGCACATTTGTGGCCCGAGAGGAGGAAGCGAGAAACAGGCGAAAATCGACTAATTTCTACAATGAACGTGACACGTCCAACAATATTGCATTCTATATAGGCCGAGCGTTAAAAGTAAAATTATGTTTTTCTGTCGATTTATTTCGCAGAGCGCGACCAAAGACCCATCGATAAAAATAAAACGACAAAATCTCTTTGCTCGTCTCTTCTTTTTTTCGGTGCGTATCTTTATTAAATCCCGAAAATCTGCACAAAAGAAGAAAATCGACGATGCCGATAGTGATTAACACATCGACCGACAAATGGATTTTGACAGCATGCATTTCATTACATCAATGCTTAAAATCTCGTTCAATTTATACCAGAAAAAAAGACTAAGCTAGAAAACCCCAGACCGAACGCATGCTGCTTAAAATTTGATCCGCGCGGCCGATATAAAAAGAAACCTGTTTCGCGAAATGCGTCTTTCTCTCTCTCCATACAAACTATTCGATTCAATCAAAACACTCACTTCTCGATCGTGGGATCGCTTTTAAATGTCGCTGTTTTTATATCAACACACCATTTGAAATCGGCGTTTTTTTCTTTCTTCTCTCTTTTCATATCCATTTGAGAACATTAAATGTTAGATTCAAATCATGTGCTTTACTTATCATTTGCTTACAAACTTGCATTTAGACTACAAAAAATTTTCTTGCTTTACCTTAGTTTTTCTTATTGTATGTCTACACTGATTTTTTTTAGGTTAAGTGATTGATAGTAAAATATAGTGTTTTATAAAATTAGGTTCAATTTGAAAAAGTTGTTGTTATAAAAAGTATAAATGAAAAAAAATCTTGGGCCATACAAGATACAACGTACAGTACTTACAAATCCATGTTTGTCGCTTATATTGTTAGTTAGCTTGAGTTTGTGAAATGATACGACTTTTTGCATCCATTGTTCACCCGTCGATGGACTGTCCGGATGAATGTACATTCGTTTTGGCATCTCCGGATCAGCCTTACCCGCCACCATCCACCGACTGCAACGCAAAGCAAATTGTCATTTTATATATTTTTTGTTTTCATTTCGTTCAGAATTTATTTCAAAAGTTTCAAGTTTAGTCAATTTTTGTGGATTTGAATCAATTTTCAGTCGAATTTCAGATGAATTTTACAATTTTGCAATGGAAAAAATTGAAAATGTCACAAAAATCTTATTTTCGATTGGACAAATTTTAAATGGAACTAAAATTTGGTAAGAATATAGTAAATTTTGATTGAATTACTTGAATAGTCTCACAAAATGAGCAGAAAGTGATGAAATTTCATACAAATTTGATGGTTTTCCCCACAAATGTTATTGAAATTCATTCAAATTGGCCAGATTTCGTATGAATTGAATGAAATTCGCTCGAAAACTGACAAATTTTAATCAAACACGAAATTCGATCAAAAACTGAAGAAATTTACTAAAAAAAACTGACAAAATTTAACGCGTTTCATTCGAATTTTGCCGAATTCCTTCAAAACGAGACACAATTTCATTAGCCATTTTCTAAACTTCACTCAAAGTCATAAACGTTTCCATAAAATTCAATAAAACGTCAACTAATTTTCCTCGAAAAAATAGCACGTTAATAAAAAAAAATACTGGCATTTGTTTTTTGAAAGTGAATATAGTTTAATGACGTTTGATAGATGTTTACCTATTGTGAAATTTATAGCGGTAATCGTCGGCTGCAACAATGTCTAGTAATAAAATGTATTTAGCTTTAGCATCGAGACCGGACACGCGGAACTTCATTTGTGGGAACATTTGCCTGTGGAAAGAGAGCAGAACATATCATGATTAGTTTTGAGTACGACGAAAGAATAAAATGGAAGAAAAAGCAAAGCGAAGAAAAAAAAAACAATGAGCTAGTTTATTTCTACAATGTACACAATGTAAATATTTGTAAATTGGGTGGAATATTCCAAAGTGCAAGTAATCATTTGACAGCATTGTTTTCGTAATGGTTTCATTGGCACGAATTATCTGCAATTACGGTCCAATCGGGTAAAACGATTTCGAGTGCGCATACTTGTGTACGTTGAAACAAAAAAAAAGAAGTGATATTCATAAATCAAAAGGTAATAGAATCACATTGAAGAAAAGGATTATCATTTCAAATGATTCATTTGTTATCATGCATATGCATCGCACGCATTCTAATTTGATTTAGTGGTGGAGAATTATCATTGCTTCGGCACGACAGTAAAAAAAAGAGAGTCGTGAGTGATGAGATCATTCATTTCGCTCTCAATAAAATAATTTGCCACTGCATGTTTTCATTTGGCTTTGTGTTTTTTTGCTGCATTCAAAGTGTGTCTCTTTATAATATATGTGCCCTTCTGTAAAAAAAAACACTTTTGCCTTTTGCGCGAACATGGTTTCGATGTGCGAGCGACGGTGATTTTTCAAACGGGCCACCGCCATAAATCATATTGCTCATAATTGTGTTGTCGCCACAATGCCAAATATATAAATATGAAGCGAGAGAGAGGAAAAAAAAAACTGACATGAACACGACATAAAAATGCTATAAAGCGATGCAATCCGACATCTTCCTTCCCTTTCACACCAGCGTCACCGCCGCCGCCGCCACAGAATGCCCGCATTTAACACACAGTTGCACATGCGGCGCAGCACAAAAAAGTGTCAACGATGAAAACAAAAAGAGAAACAAGCCGAGATTTGTTACTGCTGCTGCTATTTTTTTTTCTCGTTATTTCGCTCGAAAATTGCATTTTGTCTCGAGAACAATTGGCGGGACATCACAAAACTGGTATTAGATAAGTCGACGGAACAGCCAAAAGCTACGAGATTAACATCGAACAATGGCTGGCAAACGGATGATTCGTGCGCTTTGTACGTGTTCATTGAGAGCTGTTTGTTTCTCTATCAAGCTGAAAATTATTCATCACTATTTTTAGTGGTGCAGCGCGGCAGTAACACAGTCAGAAGAGAGAGAGAGAGATTGGCAAGGCGTTAGACAAAACACGAACGCGCTCGTTCACTTAACACATATCAACACAATGTGCGAGTGATAGACACAACCGGCTATATATATGAATTGTAAGTGGTGCGTCAAGATGCGCGCGAAAAGTGCCGACATACCGACAGATGAGATCAGAGCGAGAAAATCACCCGAAAAACGAAACGAGCGAGAGAAACGTGGTGAAGCGGAAAAATAACACACACTAACACATTAGCCGTGCTGAGCAAAGCAAGCACACACCGAGTAGCATAACACAATAGATGCATCGCTGCACAGAGCCATTGCAATAGACACACAAAAGTGCAACAAGGCATTAACAAATAATCGCACCCAAATACAATGGCTATTTTTCTTCTTAGCTATACATAGCAAAACACCTTTTCATGCACAACACTCTCACTTTGTGCGACGTACATTTCGCGCCGGCTGTCGAATTTCTAACAAAAGCGATTTGTACAATGCACTTTTAATCGAAGCATGAGCATTTTTTTCGCTCTTCGCTAGATTAGAATTTGATGAAGACATTTTTTTTTTGTATTGAAATCTGAAGATTAAGATGAATTTAAGATTGAAATTGATGATTTTCCATGAATGAAAATTATTCAACCATTTAACATATTTTCTTCAAATAAAGAGAGCAATTTTCATGAAGAAAAATGGATTTGTTTGATACAAAACCCCTTTCCTGATCATCTTCATATGAAAGGCTGTAACTTCGTTGGCTGGTTCTAATTCATTGCGTTTAAATTGCTTCGAAAAAAATAAATTAATGAAACCCTTTCCGTTGCCAAAACCTGTCATAATTTTCGATATCGATTGGTTAAAATCGGGCATGCAGTTAATTAGAACCACCTGTCTTTTCACCCGAAACGCCACATTAGACCGCAGTAAATAAATTTGGTGTTTGTTTTTGCGTTTTTTTTTTATCATCCACACTGCATACGAAAAATGCTGTTTTTCGGAAGTTGACAGGTAAGAACACGAAAATTATGCGAATTTTGTTTGTGTGTTTTTGTTCCCAGTCCCATACTGCCGTATATGTATTTATCTCGTCTCGCAAAACTCGATTATAACTTGGATAATTTGGTGAAATTGAGCAATTAAGCACGCAAAACGATGTGTGTTTTGTTTAAACAATGTAATACATAGATCCGAAAACGGCAGTGGCTGCCAATTAGTGCGAGATGGTGGGGCCTCTTTTTTTTCGTTGAAAATAAGCCAGTCATCCAAGGAGAGTATCTAATCAAGTCATTTGCAAGCGTGCAATTTAGAAAATTAAATTAATTTCCATTGAATGGGAGCTGATGGAGAGCACACACAGCAAATGGTAATCTAATGAGCAAAATTGATTGCTTCCTTTTGCCAGTTTGCAAATGGCAAAATCGCTAGTTTAGTGTTTTTTTCTCGTCATTTGTTCGTATTCCATGTATAATAATTGCCAACGTGACAATTTTCAAGTTGTGCTCAGCATCGCAAACAAACACACATTCATATGCAGAAAACGGTTCATAGCATCTCGATTCGTTCGGGCTAGTGCTCTCACTCGGCTGAACGATATATAATCATTAAGTACTTAACATCCACACCGAGCATTCAAAATCTGTGTTATTAAAGATAAGTGCATCGTTTTGCTGCATTTACATACGAATCGAAATCTATGCGGTTTGATATGATTGTGTCACATATACTAGCGAATCCCGGGCCCGAACCCAAATGAACGGCCATACAACAGCGACAGAAAAAAAAAGAAATATGGTTGTTTTGCATGGTTGATAATCGCACACGCTTCCACATGTACTGCGTCGAGGCGAAGAGGTGTCGATTGTATTTTTTTTTCTTTCAAAAAGCGTTGAACACCAACGTCGATTCGGAAATTATCTACTTCAGGAGGGAAAATTGCATAATTGCACCTCGGTGGCTGCATTGCAATTGATTGTTTTTTTCTCCTTCAATTTTTTGTTTGTTTTCGGTTTCGTTAAGTCTGCCGAGTGTAGCAAGACAAAATCGAGTTTGGTGAAAACATTTTTCACAATTTAATAAATGACAGAAAGAAAAATGCAACGGCTGGACAACGCGAGCAAAAGACCACCGCATGTGAGAATGGCGACGATGGCGGCGGCGGCGGCGGTAAGCGATTGAAAATCAGCATTTAGCACGGACATTAGCATGTTCATCAATCGGCTCTCCATAAATCAATATGCGATCACGCAAACCCTCCTGTACATAATTAGAGGCAAAACAAACACAGCGAATGTGTTTATGTATATATGACTGGGTACAAACACCCATCGTCAAAACACTAATCGAACTAATCACAAATATTACCCACGGCCTGATTAGTTGTGTGTTGTTTTTTTTTTCGTTCCTCCTCGTTATGTTATTCATTTTGTTTTATTGAAGACAATTCTACAGCTCATAAACGACTTGAAAGCACTCTCAAAAATCATGGATTAGTATTATTTTAGTGCGCGCGAGCAATTTATGAATGAACATTTATTACGATTCAATCGATTGCGACCGACCGACCGACACACAGAGTAATTATTTGTCGACATGAAAATACTCGCGTTATCGGTACTATATGCATATTAAAACAGAAGAAAAAAAAAAGTGAAACTTGATTTTGTGACCGCTCTCAAATCGGTCGGACGACAAATAGTCACTTCCCGAATGATTTGTGTGATCGACTGACTCGTTCGAATAGTTCATCATAAAAATAATGAAATAAAATAAAAGCAAAACTACTTTTTCTCAAACAAACACCCAAATCACTCAAATGCGATAATGTTATCGCTTATGAGCATATTTATTCCGAACAACAAGCAGCTGTTAGCTGCTCAAAAAGACTCTTTTAATTGCCACAAAGAATTGGCGGCTTCCTTTCATTTTCCAAAACCGATTATTATTACCAATAAATAAATATGCTAATTTGAAATGCCGCGCCATTTGAAACAAATACTAAACTTTATGTAATCGTAGCGTGTGTTGTGAGCGGATGGACTGGCAGAAAAAAAACAACTATTTGAGAAAACAGCGAGAACTATGACTTGGGCTCGCGAGAGAGTGAGTTTTTGAAGAAAAAAAAATTCAAATGCAATAAAACCGACTAAGCGAGAGGATCGTAATCGGGGTCATTTGAAGCACTTCCCATGCGCTCAGGGGTTATCTGCGACTCGCGTTTCGTTTGATAGTTTCGGAATGCCGGACTACAAGAAAACCAAAACAAACCCAACAATCAAGTGTTAACGTGTCAGCCAAACGAATTATTATTGCCTTTGAAATATCGACGCTCTTTTTTTTCCGCCACGACCCATGAACGTAAATAGTGATTATTGCGTCTAATGCAATTGACAACGTAATCAGAACAAAATACGAGAGTAAAATAAAAGAATAAACGTGTATGAAAGAATCTTAACGTTAGAGTCTTGTTGTAGTGATAAGACGACGAATCATTGAAGATCGTACAACTTTTGAAGATGAAAATGATCGATAAGGCACTCGTAACGAAAACACTAGTTCTTTAGTCAAAAAAAGATGAATCATATTCAAAATCGCTTCGCCCCGAATGGCGAAATTCCAAAAAAAATTCCAACAGTTGGTGTATTTATCGAAGTGTTTTGAGCCACTGTAAAAGGATTTGAAAGACAATTGGCCATTATGTATGTGTTTTTTCTGCTGTCTTCGCGAGTTTAGCGCGAAAGAAAGACGTGAAAATTGATGACGATAATAAATGGGAGTCTATATCAAATGCGAAGCCTATATTTATGTAATCATCGGCATTG